CATGAATATAAAGGGCATGACGTGTATCGATGAACACTAACGTTGATATTAAAGTCGAAGTAATGTCGATGCACCACCGATCGTGGAGAGAGATTCGTTTCTCCAAATTTAATCAGAAACATCAAGGAGCATGAGACGACGCGTAGGTAGGTAGATAGGAAGGAAGGAATGAAGGTAGGTAGGTAGGTAGGTAGGTAGGTAGGTAGGTAGGTAGGTAGATAGGTAGGTAGGTAGGAGAGAACCGTGGAAGCCAATTACGGATCGTACGTTGCGGCATATCACTGACATTTGATTCGAACGGGTGATACCACCTTCATCGGTGGGATGATAGTAGTAGTAGTAGTATTAATGGTGATGGTAGTAATGGTGGTAGTAGTTGGTAGGAAGGGTAGTAGTCAGACATTGCAAGGGAGTGCAAGGTGGCCGACAGTGACTTGATGCGGTTAGCGGATCGCCCCGTTAATTCGATTTGATGCTCTAACGCCTTCTCCACGTCGGGGAATACATATTCATGTAAATACGAATTATTTCGTACGATAGTCAGCCATTTTCGTTTTCACCTTTCCTTACTCTATTCTGTATCTTTCTCTTTCTATTTTCTATAAATGGATTTTCGTCGTTTGACGTTACTATACGAAGAAATAATTAAATCTAGAAAGAAAGAGAGAGAGAGAGAGAGAGAATGTGAAAGAGAGAGAGAGAGAGAGAGAGAGATAAAAAGAAGAAAAGAAAAGAAAATAATACTATTTCCGTAAAGACCCAATCGGTTAGTTAACTTTTTCAAAAGTGTGTCAGTAGAGCTTGCTAAACGGAAAAAGAATTTTCTATAGAGCAATAAAATCTTCATAGATCCTCGGTTAGAATAGTGAAACCGGAAGAAGGAACACTGGTAACGATAATGGCGAACACGGACTATTGGCATAGTTTCCGAGTGGTACTTAAAATTATTCCTACTCGGATCGAGCCTGGCACTAATCCAGCCAACCTTCCCCATTCCACCCCTTGCTTCTCAACATTTTCGTCGAATACGCTTGCCGGTTAAAACGTTTCGCCTTGCTCAAAATTGATAACCGAGTTTTCTTCTTCTTCTTCTTCTTCTTCTTATACTACTACTTCTTCTTCTTCTTCTTCCTCTTCGTTTCCTAACTCTTACCTCGGAGAAAATGAGATTCGTTGTCGCTCGAAAGAAGAACGAAGTTGAGAATCTTTTGCCAAGATCGTGAAAAAAGGGGAAAAAAATAGTCTGGAAAAGCGATTAACTAACGTGACTTACTTCTACGAGAGAACGTGAGAAAATGAATAAGATTCTTCGCATAATAATATTTCAGAAATAAAAAACAAAAAGAATAAAAATGAATTTCAACTATCCTTTCCCCCCGCCCCCACAATTACAATTTATCTTTCATATTTAATGAAACAACGTAAAAAAAAAAATAAAACATTTGTAATCATATAATCGATTCAATAACATTACTGATATATCATAAATCATCATCGTAAATGTTCCAAACGAAATGAATTAGATTTTATCATCTAAAATCCTCGGACACGTTAAACAAATTTTTTCTAGCATAGTATAATAATATAATGGTAGTAGTTCAAAGCAGTGGTACGTAATACGCGCGGTTCACGTCCACACGTATTACTCAGCTATACGTTACTGGCCGAACAGATTTACGGTGACAAATTACCGCAACTGTGCCGAGTTCCCGGTGAGAGAACACGGTGTATGTGTATGTATGTGTATGTACGTATGTTCGTGTGAGTTCGTGTGTTCGCGCGCACACTCGCTAGCTCGGCAATTCAATAACGTGCTACTCGACTGGCCTACATTAGACTCCGACGGTCTAATGTAATATCAATCGTCTTTCTGCTGGCGGTGTACAAGAGGTTAACGTGGGTAAGCCCTGACCGTTGGGAGCCATTTGCTAATAGATGCCGCGACATGCCTCCATTAGACCGCAGGGACATTCCTCCGAGCAATATCCCCCCATTGGAGATTCAGACTCGAATTACTGCTTACGATATACCGGTAATCACGACTAAGAAACTTATAATAACATCACCTTACGTGCACCTAAGTAGAGTATTCTTAAAATCAGTCAGACATAAATGTAGTAATATACCCTAACTCTGCGTTTAAGTATATATGTATCTTATATTTTTCATTTAATAGATTTATTACAACACGTATACACACGAGATTTTTAGAAAATGTTTAATTGATATTATAACACAGGAAAATGATTTTCTTTTTCTTCTCATCGATAAAAAGAAAATTTGTAATAAACGCGTTTAAAAATTGTTGATAATATAATAGCGAATAATTTCATGAAATAAATCGTATATTACGAAAAATATTAATCGATAATGTCAATCTCTAACCGATTGGTATTACGTGTAATAACATTGTATATAGAATCAGACCCGTTATGGTTAATACATACGTTTATAATATACGAATGGTTTTGAAGGAGATCCTTTTTCCAACAGGATAATATACGGTTTTACGACGCCGTTGAGAGTTCGTAACAAAAGCGGCGAATTTATCGGCATACGCCGGAGTCGCCGTCAACTCGTGTCAACCGTTGTAACAACGTTTCCGCGCACGCGATACCAGTTGTAAGATCCATGGTAACATCGCTAGTTCCCATGTTACTGATACATCAACGTCCGAAACTTCGATGCCCGCTGTCGATTCCTCGCTTTCCAAAAGTGTCCCGTGTTATTCGGAAACGTTACGAGAAATCTCTCATCTACGTAGTTAAACGTTTTGTGACCAAACTATAATATTTTCTATTTCTTATAATATATCTCGATAATAAATAAGTAAATAATAAGTATAATATATTAACGAAAACATTCGATCTGTTATCATTATAATTATCACGAAAGAATTTCCTAACAACGTTAGAAAGCTAGACGAGCTTTTCCTGTTCTATCTCTCTCTATCTCTCTCTCTTTCTCTTTAGAATAAGAGCCATCCTCGAAAACGAGATGCCCGCGAAATTTCGTTTAAAAGTTAAGTCAGGTAGTAGTAGTAGTAGTAGTAGTAGTAATAGTAGTAGGTGGCTGAGTGAAGTAGGTGGGGTATAAGGAAGGATGGGGGGTGAAGTGTAGTCGGTGGCCATTGCCGTGGTGGTCACTACTCGACAGTGGGTTCAAAGCCGCAAAGCTACTTTCTCATCTCTCTATATCTCACACACGTACTTTACACACACACACACACATACACATATATATATATACTTTAGTAGCAAGCCTTACTGCTAAAACTGTTTTACACATATACACGGGATATAATGTTGTGTGAGTCGGTTGGTAGCACCAAGGTGGGCTAGGCCTAAATCCTCCTGGCATTCCAAAACAATATAGTAGACGAAGCCACGTTAACTTGGCTAGTGAGCTATGCTCTAACTAGCCAGCTCTCTCTCTCTCTCTCTTTCTCTGTTAACTACTAACTCGGTTACCTCTCCTCGAAACCTACTCTCTCTCTCTCATTCTCTCTTGAAGAGAGAAACGCTCATTCTCTCTCACTTTGTCCTTTCTATACCCCACTCAAATGTTCTCTCTTTCTCTTTATCTTTCCCTCATTCTCTCTCTCTCTCTTTCCTTATAAGCAAAGAGCTTGGCTACCGTTAGTTACCAGGGAGTAGTACCGGTGACTTCTCTGAAACAACAACGGAGCCAACTTCGAAACGGAAAGTCCCTTAGTTATTTAATGAGCCAACGTATGTAGTAGTTCGTCGATTAGCGCATTGTGTTGGTAGACCTAGAAAGCAACCTGCCCCCCTCCACTCCCTAGTCTATTTCTAGAATCCAAGATTCGAGTCATGAAGTTTCTTGAAATTTCCAACGCTCATTGTGTTTCACCCCCTCTCCGAGCCCCCCCCTCCCTTAAATTTCTAATAAATCTCAAGCTTCGAAGTTTCTCGTACAAAAGAATATTTTCGATTGTATTATGTATATAATTTAATTATAAAATATGTCAGATATATCTTCAGGAACAATAATATTTAATATAGAATATCTGATTTTTAGAAATACGATAAAATAAATGAATCAATAAGCGTAATTTATTTTACCGAGGATATTGAGTACCTATTACTTTATATATAATATAAGATTGTAAATAATAGGATAATTATTATACATTATTTTATCTGTTTAACAACAATCCCTCTTTCTCTCTCTCTCTCTCTCATCTTTATCTTCGTAAATCTCATCGAAGTATCACACATCAAAGATACCAAAATCGATCGTATCTTTACGTTTCGTAACACGGAAGACTATTAATATTAAGCCTTTAACGAGAAACACGTTTACGCGAAACCCGATTTAACTTCGACCAGGGGCTCGATACCAGCCGATAATAACGTTAGCACCGTAATCGCGTTTGAGGCATGGATCGTTAACTTATCGCGCCAAGTTTTACGTTGCGATTCCTTCAACTGGCCTGCATTCATCTCTCTCTCTCTCTCTCTATTTCATATTCATCTCAATCGATAAACCCTTAAATATAAATCTTCAATCATTTTTATTATTATCGTCATCGTTGGGAAACGTAATTTTAATAATTATCGTCATTATAATATGACAATCATAAGATCGAGTATTCAAAATAAATATGAATAGTTGTATGTGTGTGTGTGTGAACGTAATAAGAAATAAATAATACGATTATTGGAAACGTTTGTGAAATGCATGATGATATAATAATGCAGGAGTGATGATGATCGATACATGCGTGAATAGTACGATCAATCGATGATATAGGTGTATACAATAATACATTTTGTTCGAATTTAAATGATTATTTATCGGTTTTGGCTCACCATTGCCAAGATGGATACGTGAATGCTCGTCAGGAAAAACGACGGTCTCTGAGCGGTCGCTTGCAGTTGAGCTACTACTCAAGGCGCTTGCGTGACCTCGACGTGTTCTTCGACCTAAGGTACCACCACCTCCTCCTCCTCCACCTCCTCCACCTCCACCTCCACCTCCTCCTCCTCCTCCTCCGGTATTCGTCTTTTTGCTTGGTGCCGCATACACCGTTTCACCTGCACGATACCAAGATTCTCGATCAGACGCTATCGCTTCTAAACCTCGAAACGTTTCGAATTCTCAACCAGGCCATTGCCTTTTCTTCTATAGCCTATATCGTGATCGATTTCGAATAGTTTCATGGTGAGAAAAAAAAATTAGAAAAAAAAATTAGAAAAAAAAGGAAGTTCTCGAATTTTTTCAAATACGATCTTAAAATAAAATTCATATATTAACGTGATTGCCATTGAATAATGAAATAATTGAAGAGTATATAATTGTATTATTTTCTATAAGGTATTTAATATCTATTAAATTGATCGTTCATTCATTTTTAAAATTATTCGTGGAATTTCATCGAACTTCATTAATTATCCGCATTCTTGAAAGAAAAGATAAAAAAAGAAATTCAAAAATTCGATACGTAAACTTGAATAAATGATTTAAAATTACACAAAGTCAAATATAGATTGGTTAATATAATTCGTTGAACGTGTTAAATATGTTAATAAAAGTCAGAAGAGAAAATAAACGTAAAAAAGAAAAATATAAGCAAGTCTAACATTAGTGATCCCGTAATTATAGTTTCGCGTGCATGTGAACGTCATTCGTTGAATCTAATTAACTCCCTACCGTTTCCATTGCGAGATCTGTCCGAGGATACGCTCCCGTTGTAATGATGCCGCCGAGAGTTGGTGCTTTCGAGAGGAAACGGTGAGGCTTGTCGATGATTTGGCGTCAACGTTGGTGGTGGTGTTGGAAACGGCGTCGTAGGGTTGTCCGTCGTTGCAGCACCCTCCGTGTCCGAACCAGTACGATAAGAACGATCACCGGCACCTGAAACGTATCGTTTAACGTTGAAATTTTATCTCTCCTCGTAACTAATTATTATTATCGATTTTATTTAATATAACATCACCGTTTTTTTGTTAGTTTCTTACGCATTTTTTAAATTTGAAATTATTCTCGTAATTGATTAAAAATAATTATTTCTAATGCTGATCCCTTATAATCATACAAAAATCATTTATATATATATGTAATATAATATTATTTATAATAGTGATATATATAAATAAAATGTTAATAGCGTAATTATATTTTTCTTTTTAAGTTGATTATCCTATTTTACTGTTGTAAATATAATATTATATATCTCAAGTAAAATTATTGAATTAAAATGAAACATTATTAAATATACAAATATTACGAATAAATTCTAAGTTAAACTTATCCACCGTATACGTCTTCTAAAGAATACATATACATAATATTCAGAAGTCATATGGAGATAATAAAAGAAAGCTGTCGCGCATCTAGGCGATCATCTCGTCATCTTATTTTATTGTCTCCCGAGGAGTATTTTACGAAGTCCTTGTGAAGAATCCGCTTTCGAGATGGTACTAGTGTGTCTCTCTCTCTCTTTCTCTTTTTTCACTGTTTGACCCAAGCTGGTATTTGCTTAAACGAGACTCCACGCAGTATATCCTTGAGTTATGGTATATAGAATCCTTTAAGAAAAGTATGATAACTTGACTTTCTCTTTCTCTCTTTCTCTCTTTTCCTATTTTCTAACACCTTAGAAGATAATCCTCTTTGGAGTAAAATGAAAATCTAAAAGGGAGAATAATAATACAACGATAAACGATCTATCGACTTTATCGAAAGTGTGACTCAGCTTGCCAAGGGGTGCTGCTGCTATGTTTGTTCTATTAATTGGTAGCTAATTATGCTTCCCAAGGTGGCTTTTTGCCTTTTCTCTAATCTTCTATTAAAGTTTCTACCTCGATGCGTTGAAACAAAATGGTGGGGTGAGATGAAAATACACGAATAAGAAAAAGACACATTATCATACTTTCTCTTTCTCTTTCTTTCTTTCTTTCTTTTTATCTCTTAAGAATATCGATGGTCCAAGGAAAAAAGAAAAAAAGAAAAAAAAGAAACAGTGCGATAGGATGATAGCAGAAGAAGAGGATCGAACGTTGTCGTTAATTAATGAGGAAAGTTTTACAAATAGCCGAAGGCATAGTACACTAAACGCCTTAGCAAGCCCGTGAAATTCATCCGCAAGCGAAATATCCTTGCGCAGTACTAACTTTTTAATTGATTATTATCCTTTCCCCGTTTTCTTTTTTTCTTTTCTCTTCGTTACTTTATACGCGTAGAGGAGACGATAATCGACGATCGGTCTTCGAATTTCCGTCTTTTCTTTTCTATCATACTTTTTTTTTTTTTGTTTTGTTCAAACGACAATGATTATAATCGATCACGTTGTGTTACGCGAATACCATCATAACACGAGTTCAAAGTCTCGAAAAGATGGAGTAAAGAAAAAGTTCTGCTTTCTTTGGAGACAAACAAAACAAAACGAAGGTGAGAATTTTTTATTTTAATTCTTTTTTTTTTCTATCATTTAATATAAATTAAATATATTTTTTCTCTAATTTTTCTTATTATATTATTTAAACGAGTATCTTATGTATAATGAATTACAGAAATATTCGTAACTGTCTTTACTGTTAATTTTAAATAATCGATATTTACTTTGTAATTGCAAATTTTTCAAATTTCTACACGCAGTAACCTATTATAGGATTTTAAATAATTTTACATAAAAGATAAGAAAATTAATCTCGCAAGAATATCCGTATCTATATATAAAAGATATATAAAAATAAATTGATTATTTAATATATAAGTAGTATTTGATTTCTTGCATCTTATAACCTTTTCTCATGAGACCTATTTTTTATTTGTATCATTTATACAAAAATTATACTACTTTTATAATAAAATACTCTTTAGCAATATAAAACTAATATCAATTCAACAAATATAATAATCCTTAAATATGTCTTCTTAATAAAAAAAAAAATAGAAAAAGAATTAGAAAATATATTATTACAAGTATAATATTACATGAATCGTATAAAATAGACAGTAATTGGTAGAAATATTCTTGTAACTCGGTGTGTATGTGTTCAACTATCTCACTACCAATAATCAAAGAAATCGAAGTAAGGCATTTCTTCTTCGCTACTTTTAGTTCTAACATGGTAAAAGATCAAAGATCATCTCAAAGTGAGGAACGTTTGTGCGAGAGAAAAAGAGAGAGAAAGAGAGATGAAGGAAAGCAAGATGTGCAGGCTTGATAGTCGAGACGTCTGAGAGTGAGTAGCCGAGAGCCGGGCCAGTGGCGCTGATATTGCTCGCATTAAACTTTCATATTCAATCTTGGCACCCACCACCGTTGGGGCCGCCCCACGTTTTCCTCCCGATCCTCTCGTTCCCTCTTACCACCACCACCACCAGCACCACTACCACCCCTTACGACGATCCACGGTATGCTTTCTCGTTGCTGAGAGCAAGAGCCCTAGCTAGCATCAACCCCACATGTAATTGTGTTATGCCCTCTCTTCTCTCTCCGTCACCCTTCTCCGACTGACTCTTCCTCTCTCTTTCCCTCTCTACCTCGTCCCCTTCCTTCATCCGTCTGTCTGTCTATCTCTCTTTTTCTTCTTTCTCCCTCACTCTCTGGAATCCTCCCTGTTCTCAGTACCTTCAGAATCTTCTTTTCCTGCCACATAGACTATCTTCCTCTCACTCTTTCATCGTTTTACCTTCCTCTATTGAATTTTCTAATCCATATGGATTTGAATTTAAGAGGATCTACCCCTTCTTTTTTCTCTTTTTTCTTTTCTTTTCTTTTCTCTCTCTTTTTTCTTTCTTCTTACATTCGACGAGTATACAAAAGTATTATTTAAGACAAATTTTATCTACGTGTATATTAATGAGAATAAATATATATAATACATCAGATATACGTATATAATATAATATTTAATAAATTCATAGGGTATATAAAAATGACGAAACAAACTAACGAAATATCATACTCTAGCTTTATCGGGAATATTCGAAACCGAGAGAGAATACTCGGAAATTCGATGATGTCGTCGAACCATTCGTCATGTGGCTAGTGATAAGCGAATAATCGATCGTTGGGATTAGTAGTCGGCCGGAGCCGAATGAACAGTCAATGGTTATCTTTAATCGGTGTATGCTAGAGTGAAACAGCGAAACAGAAATAAAGAGAGAGAGAGATAAAGAGAAATAGAGTGAAAGAGAGTTAATCACAACAGTCGATCGCGTGCTCGACCACGTCGTCGTTGCTTTCGACGCTTTAGTTCCACGTACGTGTTAGCTCAACCGAACGATTTATCTTTACCATTGGAATAGAAGTAATAGTACTAGGCAAAAGCAAAGCCTAGCAGTATACTGAAATAGGAATAGAGAATAAGAGAGATCGTGTGAGCGAATGAGAGGGAAAACATCAGGAGACAATTTACAACCGTCGTGTCTTCGTTTACAGGAACGTAAGTCTTGTTCTGTTTCTTCGGAAGCAACGACAAGAGAACAACAAGGACGACTTTCGTTTCCGTAGTTGGGTTGCTAAACGCATGCTACTGGCTACCCGGATTCGAGGTAGACGAGAGAATTAAAGAGAAAGATAGGAGATAGAAGAGGGGTTTTCGGTTGTTGTTGGTATAAAGAAGAGGGGTAGAGTGAAACGGCCGCATACTCTGTATAGTGTTGGACGCATTTTGTTTGTAGGGGATGGTTACCATAGCAACGATACCAAAGCGGCTCGGCCATCGAATGTGCTTCGTTCTCTCTCGTTGTCCTCTTGGTCGTCGTACTCTTCGCCGAGAACGACGATGTTGGTCCGAAACTTGTGGAAGAGTTCGCCTCCGGCCCTTCTCCAATGCTTATATGCCGTGTAACGTTTATACGAGGGACCGGGGGCGGGAACAAGGGGGGGGGGACGAGGGTGGAGGAACGAGGTAGAAACCTCGCGAACGTTTTCGATTACTATTAGATACAAATTTCCGAAACGGGAAATTTACTTTTCCGTGTGATTCGATGGACTACCACCAACGGCAGTGTTAGCTTCCTTCGGGGAATATTTCTCTTTATTCGATGTATAATATTAAATATATTTCATGTATACGTTTTGATTTTTTTCGATCGTGATATTTATATATGTATGGGAGAGAGTACCACTACTCTTATAGCGCGGGATTATCTTTTTTATAGAAACGAATATTTCAATTTATATCTTAAATAATGTAAATATTAAATGAAATTTTTGTCGTTAAACACATGGAATATTAACGTGCGATCTCTCAAATTTGTATGAATATTTAAATGAATTATTATTATTATCTATCATTTTCTTTTTTCATCCATGGATGAAAAAAGAAAATGGTTAATCGATTTAAAATATACGCTAACACACACACATACATATACACATACACGTTGAGAGATACGAGATAAGTTTAGGTCGCGTGGCAATTTGTAATTTGTAAGCGTTTACACCTATTACATAAGCTCGGAATAACTTTTTGATATTTTATAATACTTCGTGATTATTCCAACGCAGCAAGACGGAATTTAGTCCGTTCGTTGCTTTGGAAAAGATCCACGCAATGATCGTAAGTCCGCATGCAGTGATTTAAACTCCTACACGAGAGACATTTGAAGAAAACCCCGACACTATATCTCTTGTTTTTATTACGACGAGACTAGAGAAAATTCACTATACGTTATTGTAATCGTATTTTTCTTCGAGTTTCGACGAGTAGTATGCAGAGTGGACTAACGTGCTACGATTCACGTAATTTCCATTCGACAAACGCTTTGAAAATACATCGACGTTGAAAAGAAACGTGAAAATTTATTCGTGGAATGAACTAGCGAAAACGTATTCTAGCTTGACACACTTTGCGGTGCAATGCTTTTAAAGATCAATATTTAGAATAGGATATAATAAT